AGTTGTTACTTGAAATAAAATAAACTTTAACTGAAATAAAACACAATATATAAATACAAAATTACAAAATTAACAAAAATGATTTAATTTTTACTTTTGAAAAGGACATGGAAATGAGTGAAATCCTAAAAGTAAAATAAAAAATGATTAACCTATATGAACTAATTTATATATACATTAACTTATTTATTAAACTTATTTCTAAAAAAAAACGATTTAAAAAAATGACTAAAACATTAACTAAATTTAAAATGGAAAAGATACAAATAAAAACTCATTCAAAATATTAGCAAAAACAGTAACTGTATCTCAAAGATACTAAAATAACACTGCAGGCAACCACAATTTGTCACTTTCCTGATATTCCCTATATATTTCCAGGTTTTCCATAAGAACCTTTCAGTCACACAGATCAATGTCGACTTTAAGTGACTTTCTCACACTTGACTCTGAGACAGAAGCACTGTGTTTTAACTGATCTCTTCTCAAGCGTTGGGTTTGAGATGATTCTGAAGGTCTTTCTCGACAAAGCTTCATCCGGAGCAGATAAGAGCAGGCAGCTGTAGACGCACAATCTCTGTGTGAAGATCGCTGGAGGGTCCGAGCTCTTCCGAATAAGATCCTGTCTGAACAGGTTCATCAGCAGCATTAGCCACTAACAAAGCTGCGTTTCCAGACACAACACTTCATGTTCAGAAGAGCATGCTACACTTACACTTTCCATATAGTATGTGGCATATATGCATATGCAAATACATTTATATAGTGTATAGAAAATACACAGTAACATACTATGCAGTGTAATGTATGTATATGCTTACATGCATATAGATCTAAATGCATATAGTATACATATGCATATTGATATATGCATACAAATTGATATGCATATACATTTACATAATATATATAACTTTCTATAAAGTATGTAAATGTACATGCATGCATATAAATTTAAATGCACATATATACAGTACAAATTAATATGCATATAAATTGACATAATAGAAAATCCAAAATATTCTATTCCTGCAGTGCATATAATTTATTTTCTATATACTATGTACATTTGCATGCATAATCGTCTAAATTTAAATGCATCATACGCATATGCATACAAATTTACGTAATATATAGAAACTACATGATGACATTGCATGCTTAATATTCCTGCAGTGTACAGTACGCATATTTTATATATTATGTACATTTCCATGCATATGCACATATGTAGAAAATATAAAATGACATACTATGCTTAATTTTCTTGCACAATATAGTACGTAATTTCTATATAATATGTACATTTACATGCATAATAAACTTAAATACATAAAACACGTATAGACATATGCATACAATTTAATGCATATAAATTTACATAATATAGAAATTGAAAATACATAACACACTGTGCTTACTATGCATGCAATGTATAGTATAATGTAATATGCATACAGATACAGATATATATACGTATGCATGCAAATTTATATGCATATGCAACCACCTAGTAACCGCACAGTGATCTATTCACATTTATGCTTTTTAAACTACTATCCAACTTTCTGGCCTTTTTAAACGGAAAGGCCTTTTACTTGCAAAACACTCAGAAGCATCAAACCAAAGACAGCATGCGTGCAGTAGATTGTGTGTGACAGGTTTAACAGCAAAGATTGGATCATTTAGAGGCCTTGTGCTTTAGAGGGTAAAGTAAAGTCCATTGGTTTTATCATTTCGTATCCCGCAGCTCGTCCTTCTCCAGCAAATGGCTTCGGGAATCACGCGAGGCCACCACCGTTTTCCTGACTGATTTATAACTGAATAAAGCCTCGAACGAATCTTTTAAAGCTTCTCCACACAAAAGCATTGCTGGGCAACATCAAAACAGCCCCAATACGCTTTCAAGCACAACTGAGATTTCACACAAGCCTGCTCTGTTTCACACAAACGCAGCGGGACTGACTTCAGTGTCGCTGATCGACAAGAACCTGTTTCTGACGCTTGATTTGCTCAAAAATCTTTTACTGTGACAATATGGAAAAGAACACGTTAAAGAAAGATTTCACTGCAGAATACAGCAGGGTTGGGTTGAAAATACTGATTTCTCATTTTGAATCGATTCTCATTTGGATGAACTGATATTGATTCTTAAATCCAAATAATCAATCGGTGCTGTTTTCAGTTGATACGTCAACAAAATATATTCAAACAGCTCCTCCCGTTCAATAACTCACAATAATCTTTGTGCTTTGATACGTTTGATATGAAACAAAGTCTCAGCTTTCAAATTCCTACTAGTTACAGCAGCCAATAAACATCAATGAACACCAGAACTGAAATGAATCATGTAATCAATCAACCAACCAACCAACCAACCAATCAATCAACCAATCAATCAATCAATCAATCAATCAATCAATCAATCAATCAACCAACCAACCAACCAACCAACCAACCAACCAATCAACCAACCAATCAATAAATCAACCAATCAACCAACCAATCAATAAATCAATCAACCAACCAACCAACCAATCAATCAACCAACCAACCAACCAACCAACCAACCAACCAACCAACCAACCAACCAATCAATCAATCAATCAATCAATCAATCAATCAATCAAATCAATCATTGTTTCAACCGCAGAAAGACATCAATAAAACAGCTTGAGATCAATACTGTCACGTAATGTCACATTTACCTCAGAAAAGACATTCAATGACCATAAACTCAATAGTCAGCCAGAAAAAAATAACATTTTGATAAATATATGCACTATATTACATATTTATTATATTTTTACTGAACCTGTTCTTCAGTATCAAATGAATGTTTGAATGCAGCTAACAGGGAATGCTTTTTAAAACATGATATAAATGTTAGGACAAAACATTCTTAAAGTAACGTTCTTATAACTTAATATTTGATATACATTCTCATAACAGTGAGAGAAAACATGTTTTTGTAACCTTTAAATAGCATTATAATCATGCAAATTGTAACTAATTGTTCTTAGAATATTCAAAATAAACATTCAAATAATGCCACATTTTGAGTAAAAGCAAATAGAATGTTGTTTTTGTAACCTTTAAATATCGTTCCAATTATGACAAGAAAACTGGTCATTTTAACGTTCTCAGAATATGAAAAGAAATTGGGTAAAAATAAAATGAGTAGAATGATGGTAGAAGGTTTTTGTAACTTTTAAACATTGTTATAATCATGACAAGAAAACTAGACTTTTTGAGTTTTTAGAAACATTCCCACAATGCTTTTATAACCTAAACTTGTTTCCTGGGAATAAAAATATCATGAAAACAAATTATAGCATCCTGTTTATATTTCAATAACAAACTGGAGTAGAAACAATTACATCATTAAAAGTTATAATACATTTTTAATATAAAAACTACCTTATGTGCAATTTACATATTTGTTTACAAATCATTTTAATATAGTAATAATGACAGGGCTTATTGTATAGTTTACAGCATTAATTGAACTGAAAAACTGTACGTACGTACTGTACGTGACTGCCATTATATCCAAATGAATCGATGTTAAATCGAATTGAATCGCAAGCTTGTGAATCGAAATCGAATCAAATCCCCAGCCCTAATATCACCTGTTAAACCGTCTTTAGGTGAAGAGACAGACGGACATCATTATGGTTTGCAAGCAACACAATATGTACTCCACGCTTGTGTTCTTGACCTTCTCTTCAGCTTGTTACTGACATTTTATTCGTTAGTTCAACACAATCAATTCACTGCAGCTCCATTAGCATTCCTTCTGTGTCTCTGAGTCCCCTTGAGCTGCTGGAGCTGAAAACGGCCCTGACACGAGCCTTACTGTCATTACAGAAATATGGACGATCATCAGTCACACACGCAGAAGCACATGTACATTATACGTGACCCTGGAGCACAACATCAGTCGTAAGGGTCAATTTTGTGAAATTGAGATTTGTGCATCATCTGAAAGCTGAATAAATAAGCTTTGCATTGATGTATGGTTTGTTAGGATCGGACAATATTTGAAAATCTGGAATCTGAGGGTGCAAAAAAATCTAAATATTGAGAAAATCATCTTTAAAGTTGTTCAAATGAAGTTCTTAGCAATGCATATTACTAATCAAACATTAAGTTTTGATATATTTACGGTAGGAGATTTACTAAATATCTTCATGGAACATAATCTTAATATCCTAATGATTTTTGTATAGTGTACAGAAAATACAATAACATACTATGCAGTGTAAAGTATGTATATGCTTACATGCATATAGCTCTAAATGCATATAGTATACATGTGCATATCGATATATGCATACAAATTGATATGCATATACATAATATACAGAACTTTCTATAAAGTATGTAAATGTATATGCATGCATATAAATGTAAATGCACATATATACAGTACAAATTAATATGCATCTTTACAATATTTGAAAATCTGGAATCTGAGGGTGCAAAAACATCTAAATATTGAGAAAATCATCTTTAAAGTTGTTCGAATGAAGTTCTTAGCAATGCATATTACTAATCAAACATTAAGTTTTGATATATTTACGGTAGGAGATTTACAAAATATCTTCATGGAACATGATCTTTACTTAATATCCTAATGATTTTTGTATAGTGTACAGAAAATACAATAACATACTATGCAGTGTAAAGTATGTATATGCTTTTGTATTTCATATACATGTGCATATCGATATATGCATACAAATTGATATGCATATACATAATATACAGAACTTTCTATAAAGTATGTAAATGTATATGCATGCATATAAATGTAAATGCACATATATACAGTACAAATTAATATGCATCTTTACTTAATATCCTAATGATTTTTGGCATAAAAGAGAAATCTATAATTGTGACCCATACAATGTATTGTTGGCTATTGCTACAAATATCCCCCAGCGACTCAACACTGCTTTTGTGCTCCAGGTGTGTTATAAAGCCTGACTCACGCTGAGCGTCACTGTTCTCCTCACAAATCTTCTTCACTGCAGCCTGACCTTCCGTTTTATTATGCAAGGCTGAAATTGGGGAAAAAATGCTTGATTGGCTACAATTTTTTTTTATGCATCAAAAATGCAAACAGCATTCTCATTAATTGTTCAATATTTGTGCATTTTGTGATTTTTAGTTCACTTGACTGATGAATAGCAGTAGACAGAAAATCCCCACAGTCCGTACAGATAGTATACACTACATGCATTGTATAGTAAGCATAGCATGCAAATATATTTTTTATATAGTATCTAAATTTACATGCAATTAAATTGGATGCATATATCCAGCATTATTATTATTTCAGGTACTTGCCAAAGCAACATTTAATTTTCGTTTTGTTTAACTTGATGTACTAGAATAACTAAAACTAAAACTGAAATGAAAAATGACTAAAAACTACAAGGACATAAAAAAAAAACTACTAAAAATAAAAAATAAAATAAAATAAAATTTTAACTAAAATTAAAATGAAACTGAAAATAATCTAAAATATTAATAAACTATAATAATATCTCAATGATGCATTTATATATATATATATATATCTGCTATTTATATTTATAATTTTTCTTTCTTTGTATTTATGTATCTGTTATTTATATTATTATTTTTATTTGATTATTATTATGTATTATTTATGCATTATTGGTAGATACAATAGCCACTGGAAGAAAAAACTATTCAGTCCTGGTTTATTTTACTATCAATTATTTATATTAAATTGTTTTTTATTTTTATATTTTCTGTTTTCATTAATTAATAAAATAAATGAATCTTTTTTTTAAATATATTTTCACAGTTTATTTTATTTTAATTATTAAAATTAAAATTATTTTATTAATATTATTTATTTTTATTTTTATTATTAACAACTCTGTTTCTGTCGACCACAAATTGAACCCTTTGCATGCTGAACATTTCATACAACATAAAAAAGCTGTAAATAAATCAATTGCATGTTAAATCACAGTTGTGTGCTTATCTGCATTTTACAGCAGCATCAAACGCAGCTTATATATTCAGAATTTCATAACTGTCTGTTTTATAATCTTCCACATATCGATATCATGGCTACAACACAGAAAGTTCACTATCAGAGTCTCAGTAAGAGTAGCTGGTAATTAAGAACGCAGCCCAAAGGCAGTAATTTGCCAGGCAATATTTCTGGCTTCTGGGAATTAAAAGTATAACCTAATTATCTGCTCCTATTAACTGTGCTGAAGCCGAGGGAGCGCAACCAGACACGGCACCCAAAAGCACTGCACTTTGATTTTAAGAGCTCATAAAACTGCATGCTTCAAAACCAAAATCTACAAATTAGAGAATAAATTTGCCAAAATTCATGTTTTTTGTTGCATAATTTGAAATAATGCAATGACTGCATGACTAAATTTGCATGCATATATCTTTCTGCACATGCATTAAATATGTAAGCATCCAAAATTTCCCACAGTCTGTTATTTTTTAATTTTGTAGTACATTTTTTAAAGTTAAATATATTATATTAACTGAGATGCTATTATAATATCTTGATGGTGCTAAAATAACACTGCATATATCTTTATGGAGATGCATCAAATATATATAAATATATATATATATATATATATATACACATCCAATATTTCCCACAGTCTGTTTCTAAAATTTTGCAGTTTCATCTTAAATACTGTGCAAAATAAGTATTATTTATGCATTATTGGTAGATATCGGTCTCTGAATTGGCCACTGAAAAACCCACAACTATTATATTTTTAAATAATATTTTGAATTAGTTTTTATTTTTATACTTTGTTTTAATATTTTAATTTCAGTTAAAGTTTTATTAGTTTTGTTGCACATTTTTGCAATTTTTATTAGTTGTTTTTGTTTTTAATATGCCTATTAATTTTTACTTTTAGGTTCAGTTCAGTTATTTTAGTACATCAAGATAAACTAAATGAACATTTTAAAAGTTTAATCAAATAGAATATTATCAATATAAAAATAAAATGGTATTTTATCAATAAAATAAGTTTATTTTAATTTAAGTTTAAATAAGTTTATTTTTAATTCTATATATTTAAATTTATTTCGTTTAATTTATTATGTTTATTTTAAGTAACTTTAGTAGTTTCAGTTGACTATAATAACCCTGTTTTTTGGTATATTTGCGCTATGCCACAAATATAAAAATTTTTCTGGATATTCAATGATAAATGCTAAGTTTAGTGTTTCTTGAATTGTACCACCATTTATTACATGCATAAATCAAAGCCAGACTCAAATGCCACACTCAGACGTCTGAAAGGCCCCACAATCTTATTGTAACCTCCTAATAACATTTCCTGAGGCTTAATGAGACGATGCAAACTCTTGTCATTTCTGCAGACCGGAGGCTCAAAGCTCAGTGCCTGTGGATTGTATCACGATAACTGATGTACGACTGGACTTTACCGATTATGACATGAACTCCCAGATCCATCTGATTATCTCATAGCCCAGTCCTCGTCAGTATCGCAACCCTTGCGCAAAACTGTGAAATAAAAAAACAAATAAATGAGCAGTATTGCCTGTCATTCAGATATGCAGCATCTAAAAACTAAAACAGACATATATCGGTACGTTTAATTTTTGTTTTTTGAGAAAAATGTGGCTTAAAGGTATAGTTCACCCAGAAATGAAAATGTGATGTTTATCTGCTTACCCCCAGGGCATCCAAGATGTAGGTGACTTTGTTTCTTCAGTAGAACACAAACGAAGATTTTTAACTCAAACCGTTGCAGTCTGTCAGTCATATAATGTAAGTGGATGGGAATCACGGCTTTGAGAGTCAAAAAAACATACACAAACAAAACCAAATTAAACCCTGCTGCTCGTGACGATACATTGATGTGAAAAGACACGAAACGATCGGTCCGTGCAAGAAACTGAACAGTATTTATGTCCATTTGAGAGATAGGTGGCAGTAATGCACTTATAAGTCTGCGATCTG